AGGAAATTTTTAAATTTTCTTGTCAAGCAAATTTCCAAGAAATAATTTGTTAAAGTATTTTACAATCATTAATCATTACAGGATTTCCAAAACATTTTATTCTGCAATGAACTGCAACATCCTCGATACGTTCTTTCTTATTGTGCTTAATAATTCCGGTACGGATTTACTTTCAGTAACAACCTAGTTCTGAGCCTTGAATTGTTTTTGTTTAGGTTCTGGAACATGGACATGTTTTCCAGAACAAGACCAACAATTGAAAAGGTCTCAACTCCATTTTGCAAACAAACCTACAAAATGAACAGGTAGGGGAAATTCTCCTCTACCCGATTGTGTTTTGGGTTTGCGAATGTAGGTTTCAGTTCGCGCTTTCAAGTCCATTTTTCGAAATCTAGGGCTTAGAAAAATCATAATTTTTCAGGAGTGGAACAAAGATAAATATTCAAGATGTCCACTTCAGATTTGAAAAAAAATAAGATTGAGGATTTTGCCAAATTTTAAAAGCTTTATCAATGAGAATTTTCATAGTACTTTAGGAGTGATTTCAAAGGAATTCAGAGGTGAATTTGATGGGAGTCCTAGGAAGAAATGTGCGGCACATTTCAAGAGTAAAGTAAGGATTGCTTTTAAATGTACACACGTAGAATTTTTTACAGAAATCTGTTAAATTTTACCGAAATCTCAAAAGCTGAACGTTCGGTAAACAGTTTCACAGATTTCCTGTAATTTCACAAATATCTGTGAATTTTTCACGGATATCTGTAAAAAATTCACTTGCCTATATAGAAGGTTTATGTTTTCGACAAAGTTTTTAATATGAACTAAAACAATTATATGGTAATCATCAAAGTTTAGAATTCACTTACCAGAGTTCGCTAGAGCTTAACTGTGTTTATATTGTTTGCTTTTATTTGACCTTTTAACTAATTAGAATATAGCTCTCTTCAGCTATCTTGGTCAGAACAAATACTTCATTAGTTGCCAACTCTGTTCAGAAGATTCCTGTCATCCACATTTAGAAAGAAATAAGCAATTCATATTAAGCTTTCATTTATTTAAAAAAGAAATCTTAAAAATAAGGTACGGTTTATATTAGTCACTTTTTCTCCGTGGCACGACACAGGTGTAAATTATAAATTTTATGGTCACATTATAGCTGTACTTCTTTACTCCAGACCACAAAGTGACCATGAATACACTAATTTATAGTGTGACTCAATTAAATCTTCGACCTTGGTTTGCTTTCAAAAGGATTAAATTCAGTTCGGATGGTCTGCCTAATCGCTAATGCTTTGATTTCTAAGCATGTCGATATCACTACCATGACAAAACTCGTTAAGTAGTGTACTTAAAAGCGAGCTTTTTTTGGATGGCGTGTGGTAAGTTTGTGAATGGTCAAATACCTGATGTAAGCCTAGCAGACCTTCTATCACCTCTTGAAACATACCACAAATTTTTCACAATACATGGCGCAGTCACGCGTCAAACGGGAACAACACGGAAACAGCAGTCTGGTACGCTTTGGACGTGTATCATTCTCGCAGACCGGTTTGAGTGTGTGAGTTTAAATTAGAAGAATATTTGTGATGTATGGGTGCCTAAAGCGTGCATTTCTCGCTTTGCACTTGGATATCTGATTGCAGACGAAAAGAGTAATAGAGAAAGAGAGCGCAAAAGCTCGCTCTCACTCTCTTGTCAGCTGTGAATCTCTCAATTACCGATAGTTGCGCCGGTGCGCCTGTCAAAACTTATGAGCTTCCGCTGGTTCATTCTGATAGTGTTGTTCTGATTAATAAAGAGGTGATTAATTCAAGTTTGCTACCCAGGGGACTCCATGAATTTGTTTTCGGAAGTGTTTGACGGATATTCTTTATTACACTTCAGTCGAAAGAGTTAGCCTTTTGATAAAAACGATAATTCAAGCTGAACATTGCATTAGGTCCTAAGTAACATTGACAGATTCTCTCCATTGACTTTCTCTTTGTATCTCCACGGCCATGTAAAAACATTCCCAGGTATTTTCAGCACACCTATCGATAAAAGAAGCTTTTATCTAGCATCTAATACGACAAACACAACAAGAAATGGTTATGGGCTCAAGTTATTAACGAAAGAGAAAGTCGACGAAGAGAATCGATCAATATTACTGAGGACCTAATGCAATGTTCAGCTTGAATTAGTTAAGTTTTGCAATTCCTCCTACTTCGGTTAGCGCGAAAAGGGCCATACAAGTTTTGTTTACACAAGATGATAGGCACTTTAAATGTTACATTAGGTAGTGATTAATATAGTAATATAATAGTCCCTCGAATTCATGGAGCATTGAAAAATAAAACAAAAACTAATATGTGGTGGTCAACTATAACGAACGAACAAAGTTTGATGCACAGGTAAACAAATGAGGCACGCGACGCCTCTGCTTTTTCTCATAAATAGTCTAGAATAATTGTTGTTCATCTGAACAACTTTACGGAATACGGAAAGCTTCTGTCCAGTTCATATGTTAATTTAGGGAAAACAATTCAACGTTATTGTCACATTATTGTCACTACCCTGTGAGTGAATTCTGAACTAAACTCTTTACTTTAGAATAAGTCTTGTCTATCTGATCCACTTTACCCAAAATGAAAACCTTCTATGTAGTCCATCTAAGGGCAAACAAATTTAAAATCCATCTGAACAACTATGCCCAAATCGGGAACCTTCTATCTAGTCAAGATGTTGTTAGGGCTACAAGTCCAAATGTTAAGCTAGGGCAAACAATTCAAAATTAATATCACACTAGCGCCACCTGGTGAGTGAATTAAGAGCTGAGCTCTTAACCATAATATATATATCTTGTACATCTGAACAACTTTGCGCAAGACGGGAACCTTCTATCTAGTCAAAATGTTAACAATTCAAAATGAATGCCTCACTAGCGCCACCTGGTGAGTAAATTCTGATCTGAACTTTCACTTTAAGATTGGTCTTGTCCTTCTGAACAACTTTGCTCAAGATGGGAACAATCCATATGAGAAGGATCTATAGATAGCGTTATATGATGTGTATATAAGATGGCGCAACTTGATCCTTTTCGTTTTCGCCATCTAGTAAGTATATTATGTCATACCTTGTATTATTGAATATCTTTGCAGAAGAAAGCAACGTCCTATTTGGTTAGATCTCGTGATAAAAACATCTCTAACATCAAAATATGCCTCTTCATGTGAATATTTTTACAATGATCCCTCCCTATGAAAGATCCACCCCCTTAAAATAAATTTTGATAATGTAAACTGAAAGTACATTAAATTTACTTTACAATACACTACACATTTTAAAATCCGTCGAAACTTCGCTGAGATATTACAATTTGAATTTGGGGTCAAATTGACCTTAAGGTACAGACAAGTTTTTTTTTTGACACGGACTAAGGGTTAAAATAAAATGCCATAAATTTTTTACCAGGGACATCAATCATGCCGGTATTTCGTTTCTTATCATATTGATCAGTTTATATAAAACCGGGAAACATATTTTGAGCACCCGGGAATTTAATTTCCTAAATTCAATGTTTTAGCATTTTCAGTATCAGATGTTGGGGGTTTAAGCATTAATGAACAAACAGTTAGGACTTATAAAAAAGGCGAGATAACATTGTCAACCTCAGCACCCCCTTCGAATGCTTCATTAATTTAATAATCTCATAATCGCTTTTCCGACTGGAGAGATATGTTGTTACCTTTTCCAACATCGTGTCTGCTTGTTGTTCGCTCAGGTATTGGCCCGTTGCCAACAATAATTAGACAGATTGTGAAAAAATTCCCACACTGTCTGCCCAAGTACAGCAACACATACGCGAACTACCGCCACAAAAAAAGAAAGAAAAAAGTATGGATTGTGACTTCTAGATAAAAATGCAACATGCATTTATCATTAATTCTTGGGTTTCTTTTGTCGTGTGTATGTACATGTATTATCACTGGATCGGAACAGATGGCCTCTTGATTTCTAGCTGCCGGTCAATGACCGTATTGCAACGCTATGTGGATGATGTCCTCATTTATCTGTAAATATTGTCGTTACAGCTGAAAATGGGAAAACCCCACTAGCGAAAATCGCTTTTACTCTCGTTCCATATGTTATACATAGCGTCGGAAGTTGTGCGATTTATAGCGCATCATTATTCAATTACAGCGCACTACTTTTGACACTATGTATAACGTATAGAACGAGAGTAAAACCGATTTTCGCTAGTGGGTTTTTCCAGTTTTCAGCTGTGATGACAATACTTGCATCCTTCAAGCAATAGGTATTGTCGGATGTTCATTGATTGACTATTCGCTCTACGCATAGGTTCGAATAATTGAATGTTAATATGATATAATCACTTGTCATACGAACAATAAAACATCGTTCTACTCGTACGTACGTACCGAGTTTATCTTGCGTCCCGTGTGTATAATCAATACTAGGTACCTGTCCTTGCTACCTCAACGTTTCCTATTGGAGGAAGGAACTCCACTCATTCGCTCATTTGAATTCAAAGCTTACTTACGTTCATGCCGCTTGCAAAAATAAATCACTTGGCACGCTCACACTCGCTTGCTTCGTCTTTTTTTTTTTTCGACCCAAAAGTACCCACCGCAAATATAAGTGCTGCTGCTTGACCATTTTGCTTATGTTCCCTTTCTCATTTTTGCTCATCTTCTCATCATCCACGATGTTCGCCAACAAACAAATGCGAAATTAAGAGATGAACTAGCCTCAGGCTAAAAATCTCTAAAATAAAGACAAAAAAAAAAAAAAAAAATGCGAAATGGAAAAAAAATTCCGTGTCTATGCCCCCCTTGCAAATCTCACTGCCACTGCTGCCCCGCTGCTAGTTGATCTGAACACGAAATAAACTACCCCCCGTAACCAAATTCACGCTCAACCACCGCCACCCGCCACCACCGTATCACCATCACACCAAATGATTTGCCTTTTCTTTTCCTACGATAATCTGACTGACTTAGTTTGTACAGCATCAACCGGTGAAATATGAACTATTCCCGCTGTCGCCGGTGTCCCGGCACCGGCTCGGCATGGTCCAGCGCAAGACCCTGGTGTTGGACCTGGACGAGACGCTAATCCACTCGCACCATGACGCGATGCCACGGAACACGGTGAAACCCGGCACGCCGCACGACTTCACCGTCAAGGTCACCATCGACCGGCATCCGGTGCGGTTTTTCGTGCACAAGCGGCCCCACGTGGACTACTTTTTGGATATTGTGAGTATCTTTGTTTTTTTTTGTAAGGGTTAAGGTACAGCTTTTGCTGTAAGTTGCTGTAAGAAAATAATACAGGAATCTCCAATTTGCGCGGTGGGTAGTGCCGTCTACCCACCGCCATTTCTCAGAAATCTTTCAACCAATTGAGCCACCACAAACTTAACACTCACAAAAAGTCAGCTCAATTGGTTGAAAGATTACTGACAAATGGCGGTCGGTAGACGATGGACTTTGTTTCTGCGCTTATTGGTCATCAGATATCACAAATGTTGTTTTGCGACATCTGTCGTAAATTTCCGGTACTTGTTAACAGAGGGCAGTGAAGTTAACAAACCTATCACAAATTACCAGCCCAGTGGCAGGCGCGTAGGCAACATGTTATACCGTGACAGCGGGCCCAGCACAGCAAAATAAACGATTTGAGCCCGGGACTTGCTGCCTACTGTCAAACGCTGCTGTTGGAATAGGCCTGACACTGTAAAACATGTTTGGTACCTCTAAATATGCATTTAGATTCACATCCGAAAACCCAATTTTAATCATACTCAACACAACAATTCTTCGAAAGCCCCGCTCCAATCAAAGAAAAAACGTGAAATCCCGCTAGGGGTGAAGATTTGAAATTATCCTTTGTGTCGAGTATGCTTAAAAGGAAGGACTTCTAGTGTCGATCTTAATGTATAAATAAGAGTGCCGACAACTTTTTCAGTGTCAGGTCAGGTACGCTACTCTGAAGTCTGTGAGTAAGAAAGATATCACAAATCGTTTGCATCACAATACATGGCATGTTGCAGGGCTGGTAGCGAGTCACTTTTTAGTGACTTAGTCACTTTTTTCAAGACAGTCACTAAAAAGTCCCTTTTTTAAGGCCACTAAAGTCACTATTTCTTGTAATCAGTCACTATTTTCAACTTTTTTAGCGTGAATTTATTTCAAGATTGATCATTCTTTGCTTTAGGCGTTCAATCGTCTTTCTCTATCTACAGGGTGTCTATTCATTTTTCTAAATAAAATTATCTGACTTTTCCAGGTTTTTCCAGTATTTTAACGGATAAATTCCAGGTTTATAATAAATTTTTAAATGCGTTAAAAATAATCTTTTTTTTTTGTAGATCAAAAACAACAGAAATTTACCCAAACGTTTTTAAGACATGTCAATCAGTTTTAAAGAAACAGCTTTACAATCAAATTCATTGAATGTTGAAGTTTATCACTTACTTAATTTCTCACTTAATAAAGTTGTAAAAAACTTACCCAATTTGAGTAATTCCAAGATCTAAAATTATTCAATATCTTGAAGTTTCGTATTGCATGTACAACTTCAAGAATTTGAAAATTTTCAAAGTGCCAGAATCAAGGAAAAAAATAAATGATTTATTTCAAGTTCGTAGGAACTTTGGCGAATTAATGAGTTATGAAAAGAAATGATGAGAATTTCAGTGAAGCTCCATAAGCAAACTGCGGGAACATAAGGGAAGTTAATACGCTGAAAATATGGGGAACTTTCTGGAAGCTTTAAGAACCTCAAAGCTGTTCTTTTAGCACCCGAAAATTTATAGAATTTCAGAGAACTTCACAGGTGTCAAGCGAACTTGAGAAATATAGAAAACATGAGGGGTATTGTGCAATTTTTTAAGAAGTTCTAAGTACCTTAGAAAAGCTAGATCTAGAGATAGTTTTTGGGGAATTTCAGACCTTAAGAGCAGTTTCCAGACTTTTGGAGCAGTTTGAATATCTATAATCGTAAATTTAGAAAAACTCAGGACAGTTCCATGATATGCTGAAAAAAAAGAGAAGCCTTAAGATGTTCCGAGAATTTCAGGGAAGTACAGAGTCCTCAGAGAATTTATGAAAACTTCAGAAATATTTCAGAAACTTCACAGAAGTTCAGAGAATTTCAGGGAAATTTAAAGGTTTTTACGGGAATTCCATTTATTTCCGGGCAGCAGAACCGAGATCTTCAATAGAATTGAAAGTTTTAGAGAAGCTTCGAGAACAGCAAGACAGATTACAGAAAGGGTAGTTCAAACAATTTCAAGGAAAATGTAAAATCCTTAAAGAAGTTGCGAGAAACTCAGGGAATTATGAATATATATCAAACAAATTACCGGATTATTAAACAAATTAAAAGAACTTCAGGTAACCACTGATAAGTTCAGGGAAAATTAGGGACCGCTTATAATGGTTATAATAATTAAGGGAAATTGTCGAAACTTCAAGGCAAATAGTTAAATTTTAGTAAAGTTGGGGGTTCTTAAAAAATACTGAAAATTCAGGGCAGTCTAGGAAATTCAATAATCGTTTAGGCAGTTTAAATACCACGAGGAAAGTCTAGACTATTGAAGAAGTTTTAAATCAGTGTCGATAATTTAAGGGAAGTGAACTTCAAAAAAATCTTGAGAACTTCAATGAAAATCATAGAACTATATTAATTATTTCGTTCTAATTCCACGAAAACTGCGGTAGCACAAAAGTTCCAGAAATTTATAAAAACTTCGAAAACTTCACAGAAGGACTGTCGTCTTCACAAACATTTCGAGAACTTTATAGAAATCTATGGAGCTTAAGGAGAGGTCCGCGAACTTTAGGATTTTTTATGAACATTGGGGAGGCCATTTATTTCTAGTTTTAGAAAATTTCCCAGATTTTCAGATAACTTCAGAGACGTTAAAAAGTTAATTGAGGTCTTCGCTTACGTTCAGAAGCTCACTGAAGCTTAAACATTTTTAGGGCGGTTCAAATAAATTCAGCGCAATACAACAAGATTCATGAGAACTGCTAAAACTTTAGAGAAGTTTTGAGAATTTCAGAAAAGAACAAAGAACCTCAGAGCAGTTCCGTTAACATTAGAGAAGTCACATGAATTTTAAAGAAGTTTAGAGAACTTCAGCAAATTGTTAAACGTTTAGAAGAGATCCATGACCATTGAAAAAATGTAGGAAACTTTAGGAAGTCCTAAAAAGTTCAGGGAACTTTATGAATTTGATGAGAAGTATTGTGAGTCTCAGGCTAGTTTCTCAAACTACAAAATAACTTCAAGGCAGTTTCATTAACTTCAGGAAAACATTGGGAACTTTCAAGTAGTTCTGAAAACCTCAAAATAGTCCATTCCATATTCTACGGAGATTTCCATTGAAATATTCCTCAAAATTTTGGTGAAGCTATCCTCCGAATTCAATTTTCTTTTAGTTTTCCTTGGAATTCTCCACAATAAGAAACCCTTTCGAAAGATTCTCCGAATATTCATTGAATTCATTTCAGATTTCCTTTTCATCTCACTCCTTCCCTTGGAATTCTACTCACATTGAAAGTCTCCTAAGAATTAATTGGCATTTCTCCTCACAAATTACTTCTATTTCTTCTCATAATTTGTTGTTGATTGCATATAGAGAGTAGAAAGCTAGCAAGGAAAACTTTAGGAAGGTACAAATCGGTTTTGATCATCTTTCTTTACCAAACTCCCCCGTTGGAGAGGGATGGTGAGGGGTATTCCCTCCGCCACCACTGGCAAAAAGAGATGACCATGTCGGTGGCTCAAGTACCGACGATGTGTTTGAAACAGTTCTATCGATTTTTACCGCACTTAAGTTGTTATCTGAAGGAAGGCATCCAGTCGTAAGTTTGAACATTGCAGCTATTGTTACATCTACCAGAGATGACTTCAAGAACGGATTAAGCAGAGACAGCACAACTTCCGCATAAACGCCTTGCAAGGGAAACGCACATAATCACGTTTTCTCGACTACTTTTTCGAAGGGACGTATCAGCTTTTGTAAACAATGGATTTGATCGTCGATTTGGCGTAACTGGTAGCTCGTCCACACATTCTAACAGTACCATCATATAGGGGAAATTTTCCCCTACCTGATAGTGGTGGAGCTACCAGTTACGCCAAATCGACGATCAAATGCATTGTTTACAAAAGCTGATACGTCCCTTCGAAAAAGTAGTCGAGTTTTGTTCTACATGATACTAGATTCCCTTTCACAGATTTCAGAATAGAGTACCTAATCTAACCATGCCCCGCCTTTAGAGCCCCAATCGTGTTAGGCAGTCCAAATGTACGAAGTAACAATCATAACCCATCAGTTCAAACTGTACATATGAAAAAAATTTATCTCTGATTATCTTAAATACATGAAAGTAAATTTGAATGGGTGTGTTTGAATCACATACAATGATAGAAGAGCAATAGTTTTTTTTTATCGAGTAACTCGTATGTCTACATTTGTTACTTAGGACCTTTTGAAAAGTTACACGTGAATTGTTCCCTATATTCAAATTTGTGTTGGAATTCGGCCATTCAATTTTCTATAGGGCGTATTCGATGTCTTATCTTTCTAGCTTTGCCTCCCTAATAAAGAAAACTTAACTTAACTTATCTTTCTAGCTAGTTAATCTTATCAGTCTTTGGCACAGATAAGAAAAGTTCAGCGTGAATTATGCTATTCATTACGAGAATCAAGCTGATGATTGTGTTGCACCATCACGGTTCACGAATTTGTTCGGTTTTCTCACTCACAGTCCTCACCTAGTGATAAGGTTGATAAGCATTATCGCTCTCGTAGGGGGTACATTCATGGTTGTTGCTTTTTGAGATACTCGATAAACTAGCTTTTACTTTGATTAAAAAATAACATTAGCTCGAAATGTAAACTAATGCTCGTAACTTTCGCAGGTATCGCAATGGTACGATCTAGTCGTTTTCACCGCCAGTATGGAAATCTACGGCGCTGCGGTCGCCGATAAGCTTGACAATGGTCGCAACATTCTGAAGCGTCGCTACTACCGACAGCACTGTACGCCGGACTTTGGCTCGTACACCAAGGACCTGTCGGCAATCTGCGGCGATCTGAACAGAGTAAGCATTGTGCAGATTATTTTGATTGGCTTAAAATAAGATTATCGTTAAATTAAAATTTTTTCCACTCTTGCCAGATATTCATCATCGACAACTCACCCGGTGCGTATCGGTGTTTCCCGAACAATGCAATACCAATCAAATCCTGGTTCTCGGACCCGATGGACATCTGCCTGCTGTCACTGTTACCTCTACTAGATGCGCTAAGGTTTACCAACGACGTACGGTCAGTGCTGTCGCGGAATCTACACCTACACCGTTTGTGGTAGCAGGTAAGTTGGAATTCTACAATAAAGGGTTTCCACAGTTAAATTGCATCACTTTAACAAAGCTGTAACATTTTGCCATATGAAATTAATTTTAATGAGAATTTGGGTGAGATGGCCTCGCGTGTATTGTTTACACTGCGTGAGTTTCATTGTGAAATTTCTAGTAGTTTTGAAAATGGAATCGCAGGAACAGCGCGTGCACGAGAACATTTTGCACACTTACCTCAACAACCCACATCTTTCGCACCGAGCCATCGGAAAGATGTTGGGAATCCAACAATCCACTGTTTCTCGTGTCATAAAACGTTTTGGAAAACGTTTAACGGTTTAACTGTGGATCGGAAGCAAGTGAATGCAAGAAAAAGTGTTCTATACTGCGTTGAAGTTCACAAACGAGTGATTGCCACCTTCAAACGCAAACCCAATTATTCCGTTCGGGATGTCGTCCAGAAAGCCAAGAAACGAGCAGGACTACGTTCATTCAAGGTTCAGAAAGCATCAAACCGCAATGAACCACAGAATAGAACAGCTAGAACGCGGGCACGTAAGCGGTACACACAAATAATGTTGACAAAACCACACTGCCTGTATAAATTCAAATTCCGGGAAATCAGTATGTGACTGCGAAAGACAAGTTCGATATTTCAGAGTCCCTCAGGAAACAGCAAGTGTCGAAGTTCCCCAAGAAATTCATGATTTGGCAGGCGATTGGTTCGTGCGGAAAACGGAGCAAGCCTTTCGTAACAACTACAACCGTAAATGGCCAAGTCTACATGAATGAGTGCCTGAAGAAACGACTGCTTCCGTTTCTCAAATCACACAACGTTCCTACAAGCCGGTATAGCCGGATCTAGCCTCTTGCCACTACTTCAACGACGTTATGGAGTGGTACAAGATGAATGGGGTCAATTCCGTGCCGAAGGATCTCAATCGATACTAGGCTATAATGAAGCACGAACTCCGTAAGCACTAAACTAAGTTTGATAAAATTCGCGGGATTTGTGTGGAAAACTGCAAGTTAATTCTAAGGAGAATTTTGAGTAGAATTCCAAGAGAATTCTGAAACGATTGCAAATTATATTCTCATTCCAATGGGAATTCTAAAGGAATGCTGATGAGAGTATCAATGGAATTGTGAGAAAAATTGCAAAAGAATTGAATTCCGAGGAAAATCCTGATGAATTCTGGCGTCTTTAGTGAAACTAGTCTATTAGTATAAGACACTGAAGAAGAAGGCTGCACATTGTAACCGAAAGACGTGTATTTGTCAAGAATATGTAGTTAAAGTAGTGGAAATGTATGTATGTTATGCTCAGTCGGTAAAGGCACAGCTACAAAGGAAGACCATGCTGGAGGTGGCTGGGTTCGATTCCCGGTCCGGTCTAGGAATTTTTCGGGTTGGAAAATTTCTCGACTTCCCTGGCATAGAGATAGAGTATGATTGTACTTGCCTTGCCACACAATTATACTAATGCAAAAATGGTACAGGCATCGAAAGCTCTCAATTAATAACTGTGGAAGTGCATCTAGAACACTAAGTTGAGAGCACGCAATACGCTAATATGCTATACGCAATAAGCTTGAAATGTGAGGAAGAAGAAGAAGAAGAAGATGTTAATAGTTAATGTTAATCGCACACTGTACTTATGTGCGGTGTACATTGCTCCTGACCGTGTTCGTGACAACGAACTTATCGAAACCCATTATCGGTCTGTTTCCGCCGTAATGGAAACTGCAACTCCAGTTGATAAGATAATTGTTCTGGGTGACTTCAATCTAGCTGGTGTTTCGTGGAAACCATCTCACAGTGGCTTTCTCTATCCAGACCCTGTACGCTCTGTATTTCATACAGGATCAGCTAGCCTTAGAACAATCGAAGCTTAGACCTCTGTTTCGTTAGCGCTCAGGACACTGCTCCAGTTATCACCACGGCACCTTCTCCACTAGTAAAGCAAGGTCATCATCATCCTCCTTTGGTTGTTACTGTCCAAGATAGGTACGTTCGGAGTTTTGAAAACATTTCCACAAACGTGTCATACGATTTTCGGAAAGCTGATCATAGTAGTATCATCGACGTACTGTCTAGCATAGACTAGGGAAGCGTCCTGGACCCTTATAACGTTGAAACCGCTGCGCAAACTTTTTCACATGTTTTGGCGTATGTCATTGACAGACACGTTCCAAAGAGAGTTCACCGAAAAGGGTCACACCTTCCTTGGCAGACGAGCCAATTGCGAAAGTTGAAATCGACCAAGCGAGCGGCACTAAGGAAATTCACCAAGTATCGTATGCTGTCGCTGAAACATCATTACGTTAGGCACAAACATGAGTTCAGGCGAGTTAGCCATCGATGCTATTCGCGATATCAACGTGGGATTCAGAGTAAACTCAAGTCACACCCGAAGTCCTTCTGGAATTACGTTAACGAGGAGCGCAAAGAGTCTGACCTACCATCGTCAATGATGTTCAACGGAGAAGTTGCTTCCACCTCTCAGGAGATCTGTCGCTTGTTTTCAGACAAGTTTGCCAGCGTATTCTCTAATGAGATATTAACCGACGACCACGTTACCCTAGCAGCTAGTAATGTACCACTCTAGCGTTGGGTGCAATTGACATCGACGTCGAGATGATTTCCACTGCCGCACAACAACTTAAGTCGTCCTTCAACCCAGGACCCGATGGTGTCCCATCAGTATTTCTGAAGAAGCATATCACCAGCTTGCTGACACCGTTGCAGCATCTATTCCGCATGTCCATCTCGAGTGGTATATTTCCATCTTCTTGGAAATTTTCACATATGTTTCCTGTTCACAAAAAAGGGAAACAAACGGGACGTGGATAATTACCGTGGAATCACATCGTTGAGCTCAGTTTCGAAGTTATTCGAGTTAATCATCATGGAGCCCCTGCTCTCTCATTGTAAGCAGTATCTAAGTAGTGATCAACACGGCTTCTTTTCCGGTCGTTCTACTACCACTAATCTACTTTGTCTGACATCGTATGTCACGGAAAGCATGACAGAACGGGCTCAAACAGACGTAATTTACACCGACTTGTCGACTGCATTCGATTAACTGAACCATGCAATTGCGATTGCTATGTTAGATAGACTCGGGGTAAATGGCAACCTCCTGCGATGGTTTCGCTCTTATCCCATCTGATGGTAACCGGTGGTCAATGTCGCTCTTATCCCATCTGATGGTAACCGTTGGTGAATGTCAACCTGCTACTTACCCAGCCACGTCAGAGATACCTCAAGGAAGTCACCTAGGCCCGTTGATTTTCCTGTTGTACTTTAACGACGTGAATCTGGTCCTCGAAGGCCCTCGTCTATCGTATGCAGATGATCTTAAAATCTATATCCGGATCCGTTCTATCGATGACTGTCACTTCCTCCAATATCAGCTCAAAGCGTTTGCTAACTGATGTAACTTGAACCGAATGGAGGTCAACCCCGCGAAGTGTTCAGTTATCACCTTCACTCGCAAGAAGGAACCCATCATGTTCAATTATGTACTTCAGGAAACAACTATCAGCCGTGTCAACCACGTAAAAGACCTGGGAGTTATTGTGGATTCCCAGTTAACGTATAAGCAACACATCTCGCGTCAAGATCATTGGGATTCATTTTCAGGATTGCAAAGAATTTCTCCGATATATATTGTCACAAATCACTATACTGTTCCCTGGTGCGGTCCAGCCTGGAATATTGCTCTGCAGTATGGAACCCAAGCTATAACAATGGTGCTGAAAGAGTTGAGTCCGTTCAGCGTCGATTTCTTCGATTTGCTCTGAGGAAGCTGCCTTGGAAAAAACCCTTTTCGTCTACCCAGTTATGAAAGTCGATGTCAACTGATTGATCTGGAGCTGCTACGTACTCGGAGAGACACTTCGCGGGCCCTGCTCATCGCGGATAGTTTACAGGGTAGAATTGATTGTTCTACAATCCTGGAGAAGATCAACGTGAACGTCCAAGCCCGAGCGCTACGAAATAACGCTATGTTAAGATTGCCTCAGCATCGCACTAACTATAGCATGAACGGTGCTATAGACGGCCTTCAACGTGTGTTCAATCGAGTTTCTTCAGTGTTTGATTTCAACCTGACACGGAGATGCTACGCCGGCGCTTTTCCCATATTTCCCTGACGCAGTAAACCGTTGAATGACCATGTTTTTCATTGTATTGTGTATTTTAGTAAGCTGTACTATGTATTTTATGTTATTCACTTAAACATCATTGGGGCTACACTCAGTCTGTTGATGTAAACTAATAAATAAACTAAAAAAAATCAATTTTTCCCCGAATTACTAATCCTTCTCAATTTCTAGGATAGCTCTATTGAGAAAAATTTCTGTTGAATACTTTCGAGAGTTTTTAAAGTGATTTCTAGGTGTAATCCATGGGGATTTTGATTAAATTTATGGGATCACTGCAATAGAATTCCAAAGGAATTCCGAGAATAACTCCATGGAAATATCGGAAGAATACGTTCCGAATATTGAGGAGAATTCCAAGAGAATTTTCAGGAAAATTATTTGGGGAATTCCTACGTAAGATTACTTACCTACTTTGAAAATTATTTAGAATTTGAAGAGAATTGCAGAGTGAATTCAAAGAGTATTCTGCAGAGAATTTCAACTGCATTAAGGCCTGTACTCGAAAAAAATGCACCAGACAAAAGTGTTCGCCAAAAATTTAGTTTAAGTCCGATTTTCTTGAAACGTTCAGGTAATGAACTAATACATATGGATTATGTTTCGGCATAATTACTTTCTTCAATTTCCTTTCCATCGCTGAAAGCCCGCACCTTTCCCTTAAGACCCCTCATTAAATTTTGTGCAATGGTGGAGCCGACCTTTTTGGTCACTTTCATCCATTCTTTCTTCAACTCCAGCTCGTTCTTAAACACCTTGGACGATTTTCGAACTTTGGCCTTCATTATGGCCCAAAATCTTTCCACCGGACGAATCACTGGTGAATTTGGGGGGTTGGCGGTTTTTGG